TGTCACGACCCGGATTTTCCACCCTCGGGAGTCGTGATGGCGCCTACTATTGGGAGCTAGGCAAGCCAAATTTAATTACTTCTTCATTAATAACATAATTCCTTTTTACAGTTATCGGCAATAATACAAAAGCAACGAAATTAAATAATAAGCGGAAGTCTCAATATTATAGAAAACTGAATAGAAATGCGGAAAATTTCAACCAAGGTCTCTACCCAAGACTGGTGTCACAGTTCCACAGACGGTCTAAAAATACTACACATAAGGGTCTGAAAGAAATAAACTCGACACTGTCTCCAGAATTACATGAAAGAAACAGGAGTATAGATGAAAGGAGACGCCAGGGCCTGCGAACGCCTGCAAGGCTACCTCGGGTCTCACTGGACTAAAAGTCTGCTCCCACTCTATTGCTGCTGCTGCTGAAGCCTGGGATATGTGCAAAATAGCACAAAGTGTAGTATCAGCACAACCGACCCCATGTGCTGGTAAGTGCCTAGCCTAACCCCGGCGAAGTAGTGACGAGGCTAGGACCAGACCACCAAATAAACCTGTGCAGATATATATACAAGTACAACGGAGACGTAGCAAGAAAATAACAATTTAAGCTGGGGAAGGGAGCATGCTTCAGGGGCAACAGTTAGAAATAGAATTTCAGGAATAATAAAGCGTACATCTACAATTTAACTTCAAGCAGTAAAAGAAGAGATAAGGCAACTTTCATATTCAACTCATCTTGTTGCAGGCGTGCAACCCGATCCCATTTCTCAATATCTCGTGGGGCGTACCACCCGCTCCCATTTCAATATCACTCGTGGTAGGCGTACCACCCGCTCCCATTTCAATATCACTTGTGGTAGGCGTACCACCCGCTCCCATTTCAATATCACTTGTGGTAGGCGTACCACCCGCTCCCATTTCATTAAATCAACAGTTTCCTCCAAAAGAAAATTTACTCTAACAAACGCAACCATTAATACGAGTTCATAAGACAACAAGCACACAAAATTTATGATTCACTAAGGGAAACAATTAATGACAAATAGCAATTAATTATGGATCATAAGGGGGCAATCAGGCAATTTAGTTATTAATATGTTGAATGTCACGTAGCAATTAAGTCACATAATCATGAAGCAATTAAGGCATAAATTCAAGACATAACGTTGCGCAAGGACACCTTGGTTCAATAAGAACAAGTGACACGATAAAGGGAAATGTCAACGTAAAGAATCACAGAAACAATGGAATAAGACAAGTAATGCACTTGAACTAATAACAACAAGAAATCATAGCAAACTGCAATAAGTGCACGGCATCACCCTTCGTGCTTTTA